CATACATCTGTTTCTAAAAAGTATATAGTTCTAAAAAATCACCTTTTTACCATAAATCATTTTTCTCAGACTAATACTTCACTTCGGATATATTTCCATGGAAAATTACCTTATCAAATTTCAACTTCATTTGCTGCTTTATAAACTCTCATTCTTGACTCTGATTCCGGTGCCTCATCTTGTATACCAGAAACTAATAAAGGTGTTAACTTTGTTAGGGCCCAACTACTAAGAAAAACACTAACGTATAGGTTTACTCCAGATGCAAGTAGAAAAATACTTCAATTAGTAAAACCACTATCATCTCAATTAGAGCCCTCGAATCTAAATCCCAACATTATATTAACTTCTCAAGACTGTTAATTTTTGTGTAGGGCTCTCTACAAAGTTCAACGTAAACTTAGGATCTTGTATTTGATTTTGTTTCCTAAGTGCATGTTTGCATCCTATCATGCTTCCTTATTGTTCATTTCTTCTACTCATGTTCTTATTTTTCTAAAGCAGTCACTGATCCAAAGAGGACAAATGAGATGGATGAAGAGAAGATGGAACTAATTCAAAATGGGACTATAGACATTGTTGATTTACCTAAAGGAAAATAGCTAGTTCAACGTAACAAGTTCTGCATCATCAAGTAAGGTAGACTACTTTTGAAAGGCTTCACATAGAACAGGATAATACCATATAGAAGGAAACCTTTGTGACAGTGCCCAAGATGAATACAGTCAGTGTATTGCTGCTAAGTGAAGCAAACAAGAATAGGAGAATACATCCAGTGGATGTTAAACTACACTTCTAGATGGGCTTCTTGTAGATTTTATATATACGTGCCACCAGGATTTGCTTCAGGATAAAGGAAAGAAAAAGTGTGTAAATTGAAGAAGACTACCTATTAGAGGCGAATCTAGCATGGGGGCAGTGGGGTCTGTTAATGCAAGTAGTATCAATATCAAAGGGTAGACTGGTCATTATAGTATTAGTAGTATTTGTAGAGATATTATCATAGTAGATTGTACTCTGATTAAGATTAATTTAGTTAATATGAAACCCTAGTTTTCATGGTATCAAAGCTGGGTTGAGCAGACGCTTCCACCTTCGACCTCGACTCGGTCTCTAATTTTAACTCCTAACTTCGACTAAACTCCAACCAGTTTTCCTCTCGACTCTTATTCCCTCTCGACCCTCGTTCAAGCAGATTTCTGATTCCGATTCCAACCACTTCACTCGAGATCTGAATCCCTCATTTGCTTTCTTCCCTCTTTTTCGATCAGATCTCTGATGTCGATACCAACCAGAAACACTTATTTTCTGATCATCAAAATTTGCATTGTTC